CTCAGAGTGGATCTAGATCAGGTCATTTACCAGGTTTTAATCATAGGAACATACTAGCAAATACCACACTTTGACCTGTAGTTCAATTATATTATTTACAAAGCGAAGCGTTTGAGACCATCAGGCGCCAGATTGTGTGAAACTAGTTTTCACGTTTTCTGTCCTCTGTTGTTCCCCCTACCCAGTGGTCCGATGCGAGCATACGTCCTGGCCAGAGAGGAACACCATAACCCCCTGGAGATAACATACGTCCTGGCCAGAGAGGAACACCATAACCCCCTGGAGATAACATACGTCCTGGCCAGAGAGGAACACCATAACCCCCTGGAGATAACATACGTCCTGGCCAGAGAGGAACACCATAACCCCCTGGAGATAACACACGTCCTGGCCAGAGAGGAACACCATAACCCCCTGGAGATAACATACGTCCTGGCCAGAGAGGACGCCATAACCCCCTGGAGATAACATACGTCCTGGCCAGAGAGGACGCCATAACCCCCTGGAGATAACACACGTCCTGGCCAGAGAGGAACACCATAACCCCCTGGAGATAACACACGTCCTGGCCAGAGAGGAACACCATAACCCCCTGGAGATAACATACGTCCTGGCCAGAGAGGACGCCATAACCCCCTGGAGATAACACACGTCCTGGCCAGAGAGGAACACCATAACCCCCTGGAGATAACATACGTCCTGGCCAGAGAGGAACACCATAACCCTCTGGAGATAACATACGTCCTGGCCAGAGAGGACGCCATAACCCCCTGGAGATAACACACGTCCTGGCCAGAGAGGAACACCATAACCCCCTGGAGATAACACACGTCCTGGCCAGATAACTGATGTGTCTCCTGGTACACTACACCTTAACCATCAGAGCCCAGTACGGACTCACTGACACCAGAAATAACACACACACCTCAGGTAAGGACCAGTCCACCTTTCATGTTAATCGATGAGGTGTTTTCTTTCAATCATAGCATTTCTTTCCTTACTATCTTCCATGAATCTGTGTACAGACAGAGGCCAAGCTGTTTCCTCACACTGGCTTTCACACACACACAGGCATTGTGAAATAAGTGCTGGCCTGTTGTGAACGTTCGTCTGTAGAGTCAAATGGTACCCTACTCCCTATATAGTGCACTACATACACTGAGAGGACAAAACATTAGGAACACCTGCTCTTTCCATGACATAGACTGACCAGGTGAATCCAGGTGAAAGCTATGATCCCATATTGATGTCACTTGTTAAATCCACTTCAATCAGTGTAGATGAAGGGGAGGAGACAGGTTAAAGAAGGATTTTTTAAGCCTCGAGACAATTGAGACATGGATTGTGTATGTGTGCCATTCAGAGGGTGAATGGGCAAGACAAAATATTTAAGTGCCTTTGAACGGGGTATGGTAGTAGGTGCCAGGCGCACCGGTTTGAGTGTGTCAAGAACTGCAACGCTGCTGGGTTTTTCACACTCAACAGTTTCCCGTGTGTATCAAGAATGGTCCACCACCCAAAGGACATCCAGCCAACTTGAAACTGTGAGAAGCGTTGGAGTCAACATGAGCCAGCATCCCTGTGGAACGCTTTCAACACTTTGTGGAGGGTTGGGTTGCAACTCAATATTAGGAAGGTGTTCCTAATGTTTTGTACAGTCAGTGTATCTACTACTATAGAGCCCTAGTGCAATACATATAATAGATAGGGCATAGGGTAGGGACTCAACCAGAGTGCCCATCTCAGTTCACGGTAGATCAATTTCCTGCTGAACAAAGATAAATATTGATGTTAAACTACTCTGTGGTGGGTGGTCTCTGTCAGGTCCTGTCCTGTCTTCCCCCTTACTCAATATTGTTTCAGTATGGGAGACCACGTACATAACACACACAACACACACACACACACAACACACACACACATACACACACATCAATGTCATTTACATTGGTCAATCTCCTCTTCTCATATTCGTTGGAGTCGGCACAGAGGCAGATCAGCCTGGGTGATCCCCAGTCAGTCAGGTAGTCAGGTAGTCAGTCTGGTAGTCAGTTAGTCAGTCAGTCAGGTAGTCAGTTAGTCAGTCAGTCAGGTAGTCAGTTAGTCAGTCAGTCAGGTAGTCAGTTAGTCAGTCAGTCAGGTAGTCAGTCAGTCAGGTAGTCAGTCAAGTCAGTTAGTCAGTCAGTCTGGTAGTCAGTTAGTCAGTCAGTCAGGTAGTCAGTCAGTCAGGTAGTCAGTCAAGTCAGTTAGTCAGTCAGTCAGGTAGTCAGGTAGTCAGTCAGTCAGTCAGGTAGTCAGTTAGTCAGTCAGGTAGTCAGTCAGGTAGTCAGTTAGTCAGTCAGTCAGGTAGTCAGTTAGTCAGTCAGTCAGGTAGTCAGTTAGTCAGTCAGTCAGGTAGTCAGTTAGTCAGTCAGTCAGGTAGTCAGGTAGTCAGTCAGTCAGGTAGTCAGTCAAGTCAGTCAGTCAGGTAGTCAGTTAGTCAGTCAGGTAGTCAGGTAGTCAGTCAGTCAGGTAGTCAGTTAGTCAGTCAGTCAGGTAGTCAGTTAGTCAGTCAGTCAGGTAGTCAGTCAGTCAGGTAGTCAGTCAAGTCAGTCAGGTAGTCAGTTAGTCAGTCAGGTAGTCAGTTAGTCAGTTAGTCAGTCAGTCAGGTAGTCAGTTAGTCAGTCAGTCAGGTAGTCAGTTAGTCAGTCAGTCAGGTAGTCAGTAAGGTAGTCAGTTAGTCAGTCAGTCAGGTAGTCAGTCAGGTAGTCAGTTAGTCAGTCAGTCAGGTAGTCAGTCAAGTCAGTTAGTCAGTCAGTCAGGTAGTTAGTCAGGTAGTCAGTTAGTCAGTTAGTCAGGTAGTCAGTCAGGTAGTCAGTCAAGTCAGTCAAGTCAGTCAGTCAGGTTGTCACACACAAACAGACGCTAAGGTTTTCTAATAATTTCTACACAATCCACCAGGATTATCCATCTAGACTAGATAAACGTTTACATGTTTTGTCAACTGATGCCATTACTTGCATGTGTCTCTTTTTTAAAGTTTATTCTTCAAAATCCGACTTTATGATCCCGGTAATGTCCAAATGTTTATGCGCTGGAATGTACTTCAACATTGTGCACAGTGGATAATCTTCCAGTGGATACTCTTCCAGTGGATAATCTTCCAGTGGACATTCTTCTAGTGGACATTCTTCCAGTGGACATTCTTCCAGTGGATAGTCTTTCAGTGGACAATATTTCAGTGGATAATCTTCCAGTGGACAATCTTTCAGTGGATATTCTTCCAACCAAAATTGTCTGCAGATGGTACAAACATTTCAAGACTTCTATGAAGTGACTTAAAAAAAAGGAAATGAAACTACAAAGAAGTCCCTGAAACTACAAAGAAGTACCTCGTCCTATCTCTTGATTTATTGTCAGTACAAATGTACACTTTCCATATAGATAAACTTGAACCAAAGAGTTAACCCAGAACGACCTGACAATGTGTACTACACGTTCTGTTACGTTAAAAAGTACAAATAGGTACCAAGATAATCACACTGAGGCACATATGTCATTTAGTGAAGAACCATCGAAATTCTGCTTAGTCACTCACCAATATTACAACCAATATTGAATATAAGTCTGATTTTTAACCCCTTTGTTCTTATCTGCCAATCAGATCAATTGTGTATTGTTTAAACGTATCTGTGGCCAATCAGATCAATTGTGTATTGTTTAAACGTATCTGTAACCAATCAGATCAATTGTGTATTGTTTAACGTATCTGTAACCAATCAGATCAATTGTGTATTGTTTAAATGTATCTGTAACCAATCAGATCAATTGTGTATTGTTTAAATGTATCTGTGACCAATCAGATCAATTGTGTATTGTTTAAACGTATCTGTGACCAATCAGATCAATTGTGTATTGTTTAAACGTATCTGTGACCAATCAGATCAATTGTGTATTGTTTAAACGTATCTGTAACCAATCAGATTAATTGTGTATTGTTAAAACGTATCTGTAACCAATCAGATTAATTGCGTTTTGTTTAAACTTATCTCTAACCAATCAGATTCATTGTGTATTGTTTAAACCAAGGAAATCCTAAGCCATTGCCAACAGCTTCATTGTGTTTCAATTGAATTTGAAATAAATATGTATAAATTAAATGAAGATGAAAAAATATGTATTTCACCAACGTCTGCTACACAGTGTTTCCGTCTAAAACTGTCTGATCAGGGGAGGGAATTTATCTGAGGGCCTTCAAAAGCAGGCCCATCCCTGCACTAGAGGAAGGGGTTAAATGATCACACTTCACAGATAAATCTGTTTGAAAATAGATTGTCTCTCTGATAGCATGACCTCTTAAGCCATTCAGTCACTTGTTCATCAAGTCATTAAGTTCGTAAAGTCACTAGCTAGTTCATAAAGTTTTGTTCACAAAAAGTGCCTATTCATTAGAAGACGTACCTTCTTGTAAACGTCGTAATCTAAAAACGTTTTTTTTATCCATCAAGACCAAACAAACACTGCCCAACGATTTGCCCATAGAAATACTAAACATATACAGTAACATTACAAAACTAGCTAACTTCAAGACATGTTTCCTATTCAGGAACATTAGTTTATGTTGTGTCTTCAATATATAAACATATTGGTCCCAAAGCCCAGCTTATTAAAAGCATTCATCTTCTTTAGACAAAGTCACAAACTCTCTCATCATAAATGTCGTGCAAACATAATTTGGTGTCGTGTCCATAGAGATATCTCGCTTATCAGGTCTGGTCCCAGGCAAGATGGCGGTGTCCATAGAGATATCTCGCTTATCAGGTCTGGTCCCAGGCAAGATGGCGGACCAGTGTCCATAGAGATATCTCGCTTATCAGGTCTGGTCCCAGGCAAGATAGCGGACCAGTTGTGCCACGGATTCAAACCTCTATCTCTATAATCATGTCATTGTCTCTCTCCCCCTCAAAGTAAAGCCCATTCAGTGATACGGTCTTTCTCCCAGTGTCCATCGTCTTTCCAAACCACATTGCGTCATCGTCTTGGTCCTGTACCCCTCAGACCTCAGCGTCATTCCCTAATGTTCCTACAACGTCCTCCAGTCACATCCTGCAGGCCCTCCACTGGCTTCATGACCTCGAAGGTGGTGAGGGACTTCTCCTTGATCTTCCCACTCTTGTCCACGTGTCTGATGCTCTGTGTCACTGTGATGGTTACCTGCTTAGTGGACATCCTGTTGTCTTGCCATTTAGTCTGTGAGGGGAACAAGGGTAACTCTTTATGAATGTGGTATATATGTGGAATATATGTGGTATGAATGTGGTATATATGTGGTATATACAGTGGGGAGAACAAGTATTTGATACACTGCTGATTTTGCAGGTTTTCCTACTTACAAAGCATGTAGAGGTCTGTAATTTTTATCATAGGTACACTTCAACTGTGAGAGACGGAATCTAAAACAAAAATCCAGAAAATCACATTGTATGATTTTTAAGTAATTAATTTGCATTTTATTGCATGACATAAGTATTTGATCACCTACCAACCAGTAAGAAATCCGGCTCTCACAGACCTGTTAGTTTTTCTTTAAGAAGCCCTCCTGTTCTCCACTCATTCCCTGTATTAACTGCACCTGTTTGAACTTGTTACCTGTATAAAATACACCTGTCCACACACTCAATCAAACAGACTCCAACCTCTCCACAATGGCCAAGACCAGAGAGCTGTGTAAGGACATCAGGGATAAAATTGTAGACCTGCACAAGGCTGGGATGGGCTACAGGACAATAGGCAAGCAGCTTGGTGAGAAGGCAACAACTGTTGGTGCAATTATTAGAAAATGGAAGAAGTTCAAGATGACGGTCAATCACCCTCGGTCTGGGGCTCCATGCAAGATCTCACCTCGTGGGGCATCAATGATCATGAGGAAGGTGAGGGATCAGCCCAGAACTACAAGGCAGGACCTGGTTAATGACCTGAAGAGAGCTGGGACCACAGTCTCAAAGAAAACCATTAGTAACACACTACGCCATCATTGATTAAAATCCTGCAGCGCACGCAAGGTCCCCCTGCTCAAGCCAGTGCATGTCCAGGCCCGTCTGAAGTTTGCCAATGACCATCTGGATGATCCAGAGGAGGAATGGGAGAAGGTCATGTGGTCTGATGAGACAAAAATATAGCTTTTTGGTCTGAACTCCACTCGCCGTGTTTGGAGGAAGAAGAAGGATGAGTACAACCCCAAGAACCCCATCCCAACCGTGAAGCATGGAGGTGGAAACATCATTCTTTGGGGATGCTTTTCTGCAAAGGGGACAGGACAACTGCACCGTATTGAGGGGAGGATGGATGGGGCCATGTATCGCGAGATCTTGGCCAACAACCTCCTTCCCTCAGTAAGAGCATTGAAGATGGGTCGTGGCTGGGTCTTCCAGCATGACAACGACCCGAAACACACAGCCAGGGCAACTAAGGAGTGGCTCCGTAAGAAGCATCTCAAGGTCCTGGAGTGGCCTAGCCAGTCTCCAGACCTGAACCCAATAGAAAATCTTTGGAGGGAGCTGAAAGTCCGTATTGCCCAGTGACAGCCACGAAACCTGAAGGATCTGGAGAAGGTCTGTATGGAGGAGTGGGCCAAAATCCCTGCTGCAGTGTGTGCAAACCTGGTCAAGACCTACAGGAAACGTATGATCTCTGTAATTGCAAACAAAGGTTTTTGTACCAAATATTAAGTTCTGCTTTTGTGATGTATCAAATACTTATGTCATGCAATAAAATGCAAATTAATTACTTAAAAATCATACAATGTGATTTTCTGGATTTTTGTTTTAGATTCCGTCTCTCACAGTTGAAGTGTACCTATGATAAAAATTACAGACCTCTACATGCTTTGTAAGTAGGAAAACCTGCAAAATTGGCAGTGTATCAAATACTTGTTCTCCCCACTGTATGTGGTATATATGTGGTATGAATGTGGTATATATATGGTATGAATGTGGTATATTTGTGGTATGAATGTGGTATATATGTGGTATATTTGTGGTATGAATGTGGTATATTTGTGGTATGAATGTGGTATATATGTGGTATATTTGTGGTATGAATGTGGTATATATGTGGTATGAATGTGGTATATATGTGGTATATATGTGGTATATGTGGTATATATGTGTATGAATGTGGTATATATGTGGTATGAATGTGGTATATTTGTGGTATGAATGTGGTAGGAATGTGGTATATATGTGGTAAATATGTGGTATGAATGTGGTATGAATGTGGTATATATGTGGTATGAATGTGTTGTGTTATGTAGGTACTCTTCAATTGTTACCGAAGAAAGAATGGTTAGTCACCATTATAGGAAAAAAACACTTTATATAAGCAAGCCATAACGAAAAAAATATCAATTTGTGGTTGTTGACAAAAGTTATGAAATGTATTGCTTATGAATGTGGTATGTACAGGTTATGAATGTGTTATGAAGTGACTATGTAGGTACACTTCAAGTGTTACCGAAACGAGAATGCTTTATTACATTGCCTTGTGTTTGAACATAGTGGGTAAATCTCATCCTTGCCTCTTCAACTTCAGAGGGAAGAGAGGAGTGGATCAGATCAAGGACCTTCTCCTCCAACGCTCTTACTGCTTCCCATTTTGAGAAGGAGATGAGAGAGAATTGAGGAAAATACTTTGGAGATTCACCCATGAACTTACTATTCCCTGAGTGGATAGAGTTTACTTGCTAGTCCCTCAGTGGATAGAGTTGCTTGACTTACTATTTCCTCAGTGAGTAGGACGCTCCTTCTCTGTACTGTGGTGACAGGTGAGGGCTGCACCGCCTCCTGGTGGTGGGCGGGAAGTATTGCAGGGTGGGCACTCGGCTTTACATTGTTCAGGTCAGCTTCAGACATGTCAGAGCACACCTTCAGATAGGCCTGGGCTGGGGCGGGCAGGCCGTCTTCAAAGAAATCTGCATCTAGAAGAAAACAACTTTAATGTCCCCCTTTATCTAGTAGTCTTGTGATGAGGTGATGATTGGGTTCTGTATGCAGTGATTACACTCGAATCTCAGGTGAATTCAAATCTTACCCTAGCAGGTCCGGAGCCTTCTGGTTTTCTGTTCTACCTGATAATTAATTGCACCCACCTGGTGTCCCAGGTCTAAAATCAGTCCCTGATTAGAGGGGAATAATACAATAGAATAAATGAATACATCTAGCTCCGAGGTCTAGATTTGCTTAAGGCTCAGAGGTATGGGTGATGCATCAACAGAACACGTTTTTGCTCCAGTGGATTCAATGTTTTTCTCTGGTGTTTGTAAGCAGGAACCCATCACAAGCGTAGGCTACTGTATCGCTCATGTCTGCGTTGTATCTCCTTATGGCAGACTGGCAAACAGGTTCACCAAAACAGGTTCACCAAACAGGTTCACCAAAACAGGTTCACCAAAACAGGTTCACCAAACAGGTTCACCAAACAGGTTCACCAAAACAGGTTCACCAAAACAGGTTCACCAAAACAGGTTCACCAAACAGGTTCACCAAACAGATTCACCAAACAGATTCACCAAACAGATTCACCAAACAGGTTCACCAAACAGATTTACCACTGACTGAAACAAGAGATACAAAGGGCAGCATACATGTATTTATTTTATTCTGAGAAAAAGTAATTTTCAATAAATACCCAGCGAGGTCACATGTGATACAAGTCAGTATTCGAACGTCCATCCATGTCTGAGGATGTCGGGAGATGATGTGGAAACCGGCCACTAGAGGCAACAGTGAGCGCTGTTACCTTCAAGTAGGTTTCGGTATTGCCAGGGTATTGTGGGCAGGCATGGCAGATGGGCATAAGCATCTGCCTCAGTTGCTGAAGGTTGCAGGTTCAACTCCAGCAATAGAAAGTTTTTTTTTTTTTTTTTTTTTTAAGTCTATCCCAAACCTTAACCCTTACTTTAACCATTCAGAGTTAATGCCTAAAATTAAGATTTCTGAGTTAATGCCTAAACTTAAGATTTCTGAGTTAATGCCTAAACTTAAGATTTCTGAGTTAATGCCTAAACTTAACCTTAAACACTTTGAAATTTGACGTTTAGAATAACTTCTAAATTTAACGTTTGAGAAAACATGGATGAATGTCTAATTCTGATGTGAGACTGTGAGAGCTAGTTGAAATACCAGTGCTCGATGCATAGGTTAGTTATATCTGCACTGAGTGAATCATTCATGCAGCCTAAACATTGTTTTCTTGTTACATATGATAATGGTTGATAATGGATCTCCCTTATAGCGGCCACTAAAAGACTTACCATTTCCATGGCAACTTGAGGCCCTTTGGCAATGTTTTCAACCTTTGCTGGCTTCAAATTAATTTGGCCTAGTGTCTGCTGGTTTTAGGTTTTTCCTTTCAATTAAGACCTAGACAACCAGGTGAGGGGAGTTCTTTAATAATCAGTGACCTAAACAACCAGGTGAGGGGAGTTCCTAACTAATCAGTGACCTAGACAACCAGGTGAGGGGAGTTCCTTACTAATCAGTGACCTAAACAACCAGGTGAGGGGAGTTCCTTACTAATCAGTGACCTAGACAACCAGGTGAGGGGAGGTCCTTAATAATTAGTGACCTAGACAACCAGGTGAGGGGAGTTCCTTACTAATCAGTGACCTAAACAACCAGGTGAGGGGAGTTCCTTACTAATCAGTGACCTAGACAACCAGGTGAGGGGAGGTCCTTAATAATTAGTGACCTAGACAACCAGGTGAGGGGAGTTCCTTACTAATCAGTGACCTAGACAATGCAGGTGAGGGGAGTTCCTTAATAATCAGTGACCTCGACAACCAGGTGAGGGGAGTTCCTTACTAATCAGTGACCTAAACAACCAGGTGAGGGGAGTTCCTTAATAATCAGTGACCTAGACAACCAGGTGAGGGGAGTTCCTTGCTAATCAGTGACCTAGACAACCAGGTGAGGCGAGTTCCTTACTAATCAGTGACCTAGACAACCAGGTAAGGGGAGTTCCTTAATAATCAGTGACCTAGACAACCAGGTGAGGGGAGTTCCTTGCTAATTAGTGACCTAGACAACCAGGTGAGGGGAGTTCCTTAATAATCAGTGACCTTAATTTATCAATCAAGTACAAGGGAGGAGTGAAAACCTGCAGACACTCGGCCCTCCGTGGAATGAGTTTGACACGTGTGCCATACACAGTGCCCTGCTTTGGACCAGAGATCTATATAGCAAATAGAATGGCATTTCAGATGCAGCCTAAAGCCAAACCAGGTAGGTTCTCTTACCAGGGGTGATGTTTTTCTCAGAGACTAAGCTTTCAGATGAGTTCTCAGAAGGGATATCGATACTCTGTATTGAGGAGAGGGGGATGTCGTTGTCTGTACTGGTCAGCCAGGTAGACTCTGTCTCCTTGGTCCAGCTATCCAGGTACCTGGGCTCCAGAGCATCGGTCCTGCTGCCGCCACACCCCATGGTGCCTCCTCTTGTTCCCCCTACTAAGCAGGGGAGGGACAGACCCGGTTCTCCTCAGACAGAGACAGAGGAGGGAGAGACCCAAACTGTGGAACTCTGGGTCTTGGGTCCTCTCGGACAGAGACAGACCAGGTTCCCCCTCTCAGCGGGGGGTAGCGCGGGGGTGGGACTGTGTTTCAGAGGTGATTTGGAGAGATATCCCTTACTGAGACTTGTAAGGCCTGATGTCGTAACCCTAACCCTGATGTTGCCCTCTGACCTTTGGTCTAATGGGTTGGTGAGTCAGCAGGAGACCTGGATGTCCTCTTGGTCTAATGGGTGGGTGGGCCAGCAGGAGACCCGGGGTTGATTGCAATGTACCAAATACGTGAGATCTATGAAAAGAATCCGCCAGATGTCAAGGAACCAGCAGGAGGTCCAATCCTCTCTCAAGGGGAAGGTTGAGGTGGTTTGACGAGGCATTCCCTACCAGCACCCATTTGCTTGATTTTCCGTCATTTTCTTTAAATCACTTCAGATGATTTGCTTCAGCAGAATTGTTGGGGTCTTTTTTTTTATACAGATGCCTCTTCCTCTGCAGGAGAAGTAGGACACACAGTGGGGCGAGTCTTAGATCTCACCTGGCCAACCTCTGCGCCTGCATTGTCACACCCCATTGGACCAATGACATATCAGTCTTTTGGGGAGCTTGAGGGGTTTTGCCTAGGGAAAAGGATGGAGAAATCATGTCAACTGTGCATGTCATTTGTTATGCATAAGAAAGTTGCATCTTGTTGTTATTAGCTGCTGTTTTATGATTTAAATAAAAGGTCTCCCTTGATGCAGAGGCCTCAAGTCTGTCTGACACAGAAAGTAGCATGACTGTCATCTTAATTGATTTGTTTCCATGTCTAATATTTGGCATGTTTTGGACGTTTTTTGTGCAAAATGAAAATGACTGTTAGGGATTTGAAATCACACTGACATCATAACAATTCAAACTGAAATGTCATAATTTTTTTTTAACCAATGTATTGACATACTGTATGTATTAGCGATGTATTGCCACAGGCCTATAATAACAGCGCGATAACACAGGGCACCGCATCTATGTCGTCGTGGGCATAAAAAAACATCACAATAAATCAATAACGTTTCAATAGAAAATGAGACAGACGCGACTAAAAAAACTATGAACGTGAATGGCTTATATTCGGCTATAGACTACCATTTCCGTGTGTTCATCTGATATAAAAGCATTAACAATAGTCTTGCGCTTGCATTAATGTACTTACTATTCACGGACATCCACCGGTTTCCTATTTTGTCTGTCCTCCTCTCATCCTCGCATCCCTCCGAGTAGCCTATCACCAGAGCCAGCAGAACCGTTGGGTTATGGAAAGCCAAAAGGTTCAAATCGTCTTACCCGGGAACACGTTTTAACACTTGTAATGATAATTTTTCACTTGCTTTTTTTCCAAGTGTCAAATGTATTTTTTTGTACACATGACCTGTCCAGTGTGCGTTTACAGGTGATTTGAACACCTGTTATGATCCTTTTTCACATGCTTTTATCAAGTGTCAAAAGTCATTTTTACATGTGTTCTTCACACCTGTCCAGTGTGCATTTAACAAGTGTGCGAAATGGCTAGCTAGTTAGCGGTGCGTACTAGTAGCATTTCAATCGGTGACGTCACTCGTTCTGAGACCTTGAAGTAGTTGTTTCCCTTGCTCTGCAAGGGCCGCAGCTTTTGTGGAGCGACGGGTAATGGTGCTTCGAGGGTGACTGTTGTCGATGTGTGCAGAGGGTCCCTGGTTCAAGCCCAGGTAGGGGCGAGGAGAGGGACAGAAGCAACACTGTTACACATTTACAGGTGATTAGAACGCGTGCTATGGGCATTTTTTACACGTGTTCATTACACCTGTTCAGTGTGCATTTACAGGTGATGTTAACGCTCTAACCCAGAGACTCTGTCTAAAGTCTCGCTCCAGTTACTGGGTAGGCTGACCCCCAGGGACGGGACGCCCTGGCCAAAGCAACCAGGGGGCGCAACTACATCCAGCCAGCTCCCTTCCCCAGTGATATGGGGGAGAGGGCCAGAGAGGGCTGACGCTGACCCAGGGAGGGGGGCCCGACCCCCGGAGAAGGGTGCCTACCCCTGCCCATGGACACCAGGGGGCACCAGTACATCCAGCCAGCTCCCTGCACCAGGGATATCGGGGGTGAGGGCCAGAGAGAGCTGAGGCCAACCCAGGGAGGGGGGCCGACCCCCGCCCAGGGCTACTGGGGGCTTCACTACATTCACCCAGCTCCAGAGAAAGGGGGGGAGAGGGCCGGAAAGGGGTGGGCCAACCCAGGGAGTGGGGGGCCGATCCCCTGCCCCCGACCACCAGGTGGCGCCACTACATCCTCTCTGCACCAGGAAAAGGGATGCGATGGACTGCCAGAAAGGGATGGAGAGAGGGTCCAACCACAGTCAAGGCCACCACTACATTTTAGTCATTTTATCCAGAGCGACTTACAGTTAGTGAAAGCTTACTTGTTTTTTTCATAATGGCCCCCCGCGGGAAATGAACCCACATCCCTGCTGGCCAAACCCTCCCCTACCTTGGACAACACTGGATGATTTGTGCGCGCCCATGGGTCTCCCGGTCGCGACAGAGCCTGGTCTCGAACCAGGATCTCTAGTGGCACAGCTAGCACTGCGATGCAGTACCTTAGACCACTGCGCCACTCGGGAGTCAGCCAGCTCCCTGCCCCAGCTATATAGAGAAATAGTAATGGTGTCTTTTTGTAGGCACCAACCCCGCCATGGTTCGTTCGACAGCCTATGGGGTAATGAATGCCGTTTTTGTAGTTTTTTTTGATAATTGCTGAAAACTTATTTGGGAAATGCAGACTTAGAAGATGTATACGTTTTGCTCGATGCGATAATGTTAATCAGCGAACGTCATATCTTGTGATTTTTTTCTCTCACATTCATGTATTTAAAAAGCAACAAAAAGCAAAGAAAGGCTTCATAATTCATAAAGGTCATGTGAAATTACTAATGTTATCTCATATAAGAAAACGTAAAAGATCTCATAAGCCTGTCTTAACCTCAGACCTTCTTTTTGGTGTTTTGTCATATGTCATATTTCTACCATTTATTACTGTACATTTACATTTGAGTAATTTAGCAGATGCTCTGGTAATATTCTGCTTTGATGGGAAATGGGCTCGTAAGTAAACATTTCACAGTAAAGTCTGCACCTGTCGTATTCTGCGCATGTGACCAATAATATTTTATTTTACAATGATTGTTCCCTGATAATACAAAATTACATTTCATACCCTCTATCCGCTTGACCTAAATAACCAATGCCAATGCCAATGCCACATTTAGATTAGTCACATGCACAGGGTCTCAGGTGTAATTGCAGGGTACAGTGAAAATACTTAAGCTCCGAGCTTCAACAGTGCATGCGAGTGAAACAATAAAACATTTAATAATAACAATAATAATTTAGCTACCTCCCATAAGTGGTTATCATACCGCAATATGACCCACAGACATGGACCTTCGTGAAAATCATCATAAAACTTTGCCACCCCGAAAGTGGACAAATAAGTTGAACTAATGTGGGATGCTTACAGTGACTCAAATGAAGAAGAAAAGGTATTATCATGTTTGTCCTTGTCCTGCATTGTGTACTCCCGAGTGGCGCAGTGGTCTAAGGCACTGCATTGCAGTGCTAGCTGTGCCACTAGAGATCCTGGTTCGAATCCAGGCTCTGTCTTAGCCGGCCGCGACCAGGAGACCCATGGGGCGGTGCGCAATTGTCCCAGCGTCGTCCAGGGTAGGGGAGGGAATGGCCGGCAGGGATGTTGGTAGTTGATGTTGTGGGTTCGATTCCCACAGGGGGTGTGAAAAAATAAAAAAATAATGTATGCACTAACTGTAAGTCGCTCTGGATAAGAGCGTCTGCTAAATGACTAAAATGTAAATGTCTGAACCCCACCCAGCGCAAGTAGTTCTTGGACTTCCTGAAGGGCCACCCCCAGGTGGTGAAGTTAGGAAACAACACCTCCACTTCGCTGATCCTCAACTCAGGGGCCCCCCAAGGGTGCGTGCTCAGCCCCCTCCTGTACTCCCTGTTCACCCATGACTGCGTGGCCATGCACGCCTCCAACTCAATCGTCAAGTTTGCTGACGACACAACAGTAGTAGGCCTGATTACCAACAATGACGAGACAGCCTACAGGGAGGAGGTGAGACAGCCTACAGGGAGGAGGTGAGACAGCCTTCAGGGAGGAGGTGAGACAGCCTACAGGGAGGAGGTGAGACAGCCTACAGGGAGGAGGTGAGACAGCCTACAGGGAGGAGGTGAGACAGCCTACAGGGAGGAGGTGAGACAGCCTACAGGGAGGAGGTGAGACAGCCTACAGGGAGGAGGTGAGGGCCCTGCTGGAGTGGGGCCAGGAAAATAACCTCTCACTCAACAAAACGAAGGAGCTGATTGTGGACTTCAGGAAACAGCAGAGGGAGCAGCCCCCTATCCACATCGACGGGACCGCAGTGGAGAAGGTCTCATTCAAGGGTTTTTCTTTATTTTTTTACATTGTAGAATAATAGTGAAGACATCAAAACTATAAAATAACACATATGGAATCATGTAGTAACCAAAAAAGTGTTAAACAAATCAAAATATATTTTATATTTGAGATTCTTCAAATAGCCACCCTTTGCCTTTATGACAGCTTTGCACACTCTTGGCATTCTCTCAACCAGCTTCATGAGGTAATCACCTGGAATGCATTTCAATTAACAGGTGTGCCTTGTTAAAAGGAATTTCTTTCCTTTTTAATGCTTCCTGTTTGGGCTTATTAATCATCTATGAATAATAATAAAAAATGCCTATTCCCTATTTTTATTTTGTGCAATGGCTTGAATAATTAGCTCAGGACATATATGTAGCCTGTTAATATTTGTCATGGTTTTCACAGTCTAACCATTGTTATGCTACTTTGTTGATAAAGCAAACACACACAGTATTTAAATACTTGGATGGCTCACAACTTCCTCCAGCTAAATCAAGGCAAGACCGAGGTACTTCTGATTGGAGCCAAAGCACAGAGAGAGAATCTGGCCGCACATTTTTAATTCACGGGCAATAAAGATAAAACACCAGGTAAAAAACCTAGGTGTA